ATCTCATCCGTCTACTAAATTTCATCTTAACCGTACACGTTATTTTGTCAACAATCTTTGTCAACAAACTTTGTACAAATGGCTTATTTCATATTTGATGCTACAAGACCACTTGACATGGAAATCAAAGTCAATTATGACACATAAATACAATTATGAGAAAATTTGAAATTGAGGAGAATAATGTTAATGAATAAATCTCGTATAGACAAATAACCTACATATAAAGTATTAAATCATTAATGTTAGCAATGCTTTTTAAGATGGAAATCAAATTTTAGAGTCCATTCAAGTCCCATTTTTTGAAAAAAAAAAATGCATTTTAAAATAATGATTTGATAGAAAATTTATGATTAAAAAATAAAGAAAATTTTTGTATTTACGTGTAATATTATTTTATTGAAAATGTAACTGAAATAAGAGAGGGAAAATATATTTTAAAAATAATGGGTAGCAAACAAGGGCTAACCCAAACGAATGATTTTTTACCCAGTTAAGACTCAAAAATGAGCGTATAAGATAATTCTATTCGATTAAAACTCAAAAATCGAGCATTTAAGATTTCAAAAACCAGTACATGGAACTTTTCTTGAAAATATATTATACACTGTTTAGTATTTGCTCTGTTAAATCAACATAAAAAGTAATTTTTATTTTAAAAATCAAGGGTTGCAAAAATGACGACCAATTCATTAAATTCCATTTCTCTTTCAGTTTTTAGCAAAACCCACATAGGAAAAATCACCGGTTCATAATCAAGATCGCAACTGTGTATTCCCTGTTACCTAGCAAACTATTTTATAAATAGAAAGATTACATAAAAAGAGTCAAAAGGGGTGGTTTGGTAGGAGGCTAATGTAACACCTAACCTTGAAATTGGTTTTGGAATTATGACATGTTTTCTTAGGCTAAGAAATTATTTTTTTTGAGGGATTTTTTTGCAATTGGATGGGTATTTGCCTTAGCAACCAAATCAAGGCCGAGAGCCTATGAAAATTTCATATTGGTACGGATATTCGCAATCCACCATCACTTTCTTTATGTAAAGCTCGAGAGAGAAACAGTGAAATTATGCTTACTATGTGAGAAAATGGAGAAATTAAAGCAAGAAATTCAAGTTTGAATTGGGTAACACAATTTTACCCTTGGTTTTTTGAAATGAAAATTGCCTTTTGTGTTGATTTAACGGAGCAAATGACGGGAGTTGAATGAAATGACCTTTTCCGCAATAAAATGTAAAAATGAGGATGAAATTGTCTAAAAGGAAACGTGTGAAAGTTTTGCACAAAAACATTGAAAGGTGGAAACGCTTTGTGCTAATTAGCCTTTGTAATTATATTCTCTTGACGATTTTTCGGTCAATGCATCATATTACAACTTTAAGATTAATATAATCTTCTTTAAAATTCAAAACTTAACCATCAATTGTTTAAATCCTTAATTTAGAAAAACATATACTATCTGTCACTTTGGGCTGTACGATTAAGACTCAAAAATCGAGCATTTAAGATTTCAAAAACGAGTACATAATCTTTCAAAGGGACCCGTTGACTCACTACTACATAAGGGGTCCAAAAATAAAAGTAGGATATCCAATCCACGAATCTAATCCATGGTTTAGGAATCACATGGAGATCTTTTCGTATTTTGGTAATTTACGTAACTGTCCTCGTGCACATGGGATTGGGGTAGGACTATAATGAAACCAGATTCTCGATCATGTGGTTTGATGCGTTTCTCAAATATGATCCCAATCTACAGACACCATGTGAGAAGCAGAGAATCATTTTGACTTTTTTCTTTTTTTGGGTGCAAGCTTCTCAAGCTATTTGGTCCATTATGAAATTAAAGAAAAAGATAAAATTGTACTGAGAATATCAAAAAGAAAAAAAGCTTTAAAAACCATTTTGTTGGTTTGTTGGCTTTTTCCCATCTTTTCTTTATTAACACTGGGAATAATTCTTTATGAAAGTGCGAGAGCGATATCGTGTCATAACATCATCTGTATATTTCAAAATTTTCTCCACGATTTTATATTCTTCTATTTTTAGATACATTACAAGGGTTTAGTCTTGTGTGAACGCGTCAATTTTAACACTTGTTTTGTAAATTTTATGAATTATTAACTTAATTATTGATGTTGAAATTATAATAAAGATCATAAAAAACTATCAAAATATATATATATACTAAATTTGTTCGTCTTCCTTTTTGAACAATTTGATTTCTTTTAAAACTTTAAAGATACAATTAATATATAAACAAAATCGAATTATTAAAGTTATACAAATGGAATTTAAGAGCGAGAGAACATACACAAAAAGGACGTTAGATGAATGATGAATCACAATGAAAATTTAAAAAGGTTGTATATCTACTCTTCATTGGCACAATTTTTTTGAAAAAAAATTAAATAATTTACAACTATACATTCTTCAAAAAAATTATTTTTCAGTCAAACAGACTTTGAACAACTTTTGTTAAAGTGAAGTATGGCCAGAGTGGTTAGCAGGCTAGACGGGAAATCAATTGGGCTTTGCCCGGGCAGCGAATCCAGAGGCCCATGTTTTCAAAAGAAAATTTAAATAAATTTCGTTTACAAAATTGCAATAAAAATTGGAAAATGAAATCGCTAGAAGGAGGGCTTGAACCTCCGACCTTGTGGTTAACAGCCACACGCTCTAACCAACTGAGCTATTCCAGCTTTTTGTTATATTAATATTCATATTATAATTTATGTATTAAACAAACTGTTTGTTTGGATAAAATTATTAGTCACGCTTAACACAAGTCTCTTGTACCTTCTCTTATTAGCCTTTTTCCTTTCATACAAGGGATCAGTTGGACCTTTGATTAATTAACATAAAATTATAATATGATTGAAATAACTGGCTAAATTAATGCTTGACTTTAACCCTTAAACAATAAGGTACTTACAATATTTCCCAAACCAATACTAAATATAAAGTTCGTTGAATCTCTGCCTTTGACGAAATGAACGTATTAGGCTAAATTCTTGTCTCTACGAACAATAGGATCGACAGAAGCAAAGGTTTACACAAAACACAATCCAATGTAGCCATGTAGGTTTAGTTTTATTCACTTTTGGAACATATATAATTTCCATATCAGAATTCCGGTCCCTCCAGTGAGACAATCCAAGATTCGTTCTTTGCTGGCCAAACCAATTTAATTATATCTCGTCATGCCCATATCACCTACCCAAGTATGCAAAAATTCATGATACTCCCTCCATATTATTTAATTATAACCAGAATGGATAATAATACACGTGTAAATTAAATAGTGTCACTGAGTTTCGTATCCCACGAGAGTACTATAAATTTTCATCCCCTAGTACAAGGCTTGGGGAAAAGAAAGTCCATTCGTTAGGAGCATAGAATTAACAAGCTGTTGGTTGTTTTAACTTTCATTACCTTGGGTGGGAGAACAGTTATTATATCAAAAACTAACCACCTGAATAGCCATATGCAAACTACCACCAAATATAGCTTAGAAGAGAAGGGCTGGATGTACAGAAAGAAGCCTACAGAATTTCACCA